AGAAGTGGAAGCTCAGAAAGGATAAGACCCTTGCCAAAGGTCCCACAGCTGTGAACAGGAGAACAGGGATTTGACTCTGGCCCACATGGCTCCAGAGCCTGCTGATTCCACTACCCTGCTGCCTCCCAGCAGAGGCACCTGCTCCTTACACTGCCTATGTGGGCAGTGGTGAAGTGGGCAGGGTGTCCTTTATCTGGCAGCTTATTGCTGAGTATCATCTGTGTGCCTGGCCCTGCCACATCCTTCCTCTGCCTTATCCACCAGCCTGGAATGGGGCAGTGTCTCCTCAGGTAGGTATCTAGTCTTGAAGTGGTTTTAGGGATGTGCAAGTAGACTCCTAAAATTTCAATAGTTATATATCTCTGTTAAAAATAATATATAACTAGCACCTCATGATTTCACATGTCTTATTGCTGAGGTTGTAGGTTCCTGGGTAGCACAGTTGGTTTGCAGTCAACTCCAAACCTGAAGGTTGGTGGTGCAAACTCACCCAGTGGCACTGCAGATGAAAGTCCTGGCTTGCTGCTTCTGGAAAGATTATAGCCAAGAAAAGCCTGTGGAGCAGTTCTACTGTGTAACACATGGGGTTGCCATGAGTCAGAATTGACTCCACAGCAGTGGGTTTAGTTTGGTTTTCATTGCTGACACTAAAGCTATTTGGAAGGAATTGATTTTCCTGGTCCCAGCCCTGGGAATGAGAATGTGTGTAGGTGGTAAGTGAAGGACTAGTTTGAGACACACAAGTGGTGAGGAACCACAGGGGTTAGAGTCCCAGGGGCTGAAGCCTTGCACTGAGGCCTGTTCTTCAAGGCTTACTCTCCTGCCATGGTTCTCAGTAGCATGAAGATTATTATTCCTGATCACGTTGTGTGGAGCCCATGATCTGATGGGAATTTAGCACTTACCCTGGAGGTGCTCTGTCCAGGCCAGGGACACCTGCCCCTGAGTGCTCAGTCATTGGCTGGTGGAACATGACGTCCTTCAGTTCCTGCTTGCTTCCCCAGGTTGCCAAGAAGATGTACTCAATGGGCTGCTATGAGATCTCC